AAAATACGACACATAAAAAACATATTAACGAGTATAAATGATATTCAAGATCTGGATATAGAGTAGTCTTACGTGGGGGGTAACAAAAGAACTCGAGTCATTGATTCTTCAATCCTCTTGAGTTTAAGGATGAATTTAAATTCATTAGTAACTCTTAGGGATTGCTTTGATAAATGATGGCATTGTTGCTTGATCTTTCTAAGTTTAAAGATGAATTTAAATTATCCGTAACTTTTAAGGATTCTAAAAAGGGGATTGCCTTGACAAATGATGATGTTCCATTCTATTGGTTAGACTTGAATCATGATGATATCTAATAAGTTTCCCTTTTTTATCTTTTAGATTGCCGAGTCACTTTTGTTTAGGAGAATGAAAGTGAGGAACTATAACTTCCTTTGTACTAGTAACAATAGTCCTATAATTGCTTCTCATTTAGAGCCATAAAATTATCTTATATTTACTTGGTGAAAATAAGATCGTCCATTACAAATGAGTTGACATAATTTAAAGAAAGATGCTAAAATTTTCATTATCCAAATATTCAAAATGAAGAGCATGAGAACTCAAATTAGTTCGGGATACATCTTTCTTTTACATAACAAAAGGAAAAGAAACTCATACAATGAAAGATGAAATATAACGAAAAAGAAGCAAATTCCTCTATAGTTTGATCACACTCCAATGATCTTCCCTCTTCTAGCCATTTTAAATAATATGTAGTCATACCTCCTTAGGTAGTCAATTAGATATTAATCATAATTTCTCACTTTATGCTCACCGATGGCCGAGTTTAGCTCTCATAGTGCTATAGCTTCCTTGGAGACCTTTTTCGCTTGATTATCTAGCATAGTTGAATTTTTACCTCGTTCGGCATTGACTTGAGCCAAGTTATTGTGTATGATAGCCTAGTATAAAGATAACTTATGCGGCTATCCTTCTAGATGTTAGTTCTTTTTCTTGAGTGCTTGTGATCCGGCTTTATGCCTCCATCATTTACTCTATTAAATCTTGATGATTACTACATTTAGTGCATAGAGACATTTTCCATTTCACATTATCTTCTATTAGAGGGACCTATGGTCATGCTTCATAATATGCTAGATATGGTATTCAACTCATCCATAATGTCTTTCATAAAAAACCTCCATTTGATAAACTCATAAATAATGAAAACTACTCTTGTTCGGATATGTCCTTTCATATGTCGGCTAGGAACTCCTTCAATGGTTCTTGATCATTCCATCAACATGTCTTAAAAACTGATTTGTGTGCTTCAATATGGTTGATTACCCACATTAAAAAAAAATAGTTCAACACAACTTCTCATACTCCCTTTCTCAAACCTTTTACGATAATTCGATGAGGAGAAGGTTTTAGTTAGAATGGCAACGATAGAATTTATAGAGTGCTTCTTTAGCTCGAAGAAGATGTTGGCTATCTTTAGACTAATTATATCAACCAATGAGGGGAAAAGCACTAACCTAAAGATGATCAATGCTAGAATTTTAATCCTCTTAGAGATAGCTCGTGGATCCTTCAATTTCTATTTGAACATATCTAACTAGTTTTCAAATTGCCAACCTCCGACATTCCCTTTAGCTCTTCAATGATTCATGGTTATGTCTAACCAATACCTCTACCCTTTTCTCGGCATTTAATCCTCTTGGGTATGGATAGACCTTAGACAAAGTACTCGATATGTTTAGGAGCTAATGGTACTCCTCTAAGGTTTGGGTCATGTCTAGTTCTCCTATAGTGAAACATCTATATGAGAGGTCCTAGAGGTAGGCCAAGGACTTGAGAGTGGCCTTCTAAATCGGTACTTCTAGCAACACTATGAGATTCCTATATTTAGCTCGGAACCTATATTGATCATCGGGGCTCATAATCCTCCAAAGGTCAAATAGCTTTTAAGTGTCATTGATCACTAATTCGAAGTGTGTGATCTCCTTATTGTTACTTTGAAATTTAGGCCTAGGCAATCCTCCACCTTTCTTGCTAAGTCGTAAAATTTTTGTTCAATTTAGCCACCAAGGGGGTTTGAACTTGAGTTCTCTTGTCACCCATCCTAAAACATTTATGACTAGATTTTTTGCTTACGGTTTTAACATATTCAGCTTGCATAGTGAATTTATACTTGAAAAATGGTCCTAAGGTCTAGTTCTAGCGATTACATGATTGAGTTGGACCTATCTAAGCCTCATCGAGCCTCTTTCAACTCAAGAGAATCTAGGTTAACCAAGTGCGAAGATGGTAATCATGAGGACCATAAATTACCTATCACGATAGTGGTAGCTTTCTAAAAGAGTTGAGATTTCATGAGTATTACACAAGGTGAAACCCATCGGGGCACCGGTAATTCCTTCATAGATCCTAAGATAAATACAAATGATATTTAAAATTATGTAGTGTAGTGTGTGAGGGCATGACTCCATATCTAATCTCAAAAATACAAAATAGGAGCTAAAAATTAAATGACTAAAGTTGCATGGAAGAACAACATAAACAACACATAGAAATACGGACACATTTCCACACACGATATGAAATTAAATGACTAAAGCCAAATGGAAGAATAACATAAATAACACATATAAATACATATACATTTTCACCATACGATAAGAAAAAAAACGATCAAACAAATGAAAATTAATCATTTAGACAAATAGGCATAACAAATGATCGGAGATTCAAAACAAAGAAATTCAAAGTTTGACCCTAACGTGGCATTATCCTTAGTGAAGTTGCCAATCTATCGACGTCGACCATCGCGAGGAGGTTCGAACAAGAATTTGTCACTTAGAAAATCGAGGAGAACTAGGAAACCCTAAACATACTCGGTCTACATGGATATCTAGGTAAGGGGTTAGTTACATATGAGAAAGATATAATGTCATCGTCATCCCGTCCTACATAAGGTAGGCTACATTGTTTTCTTATGAACATAAAAAATCTGATTGTATCATGTTATACATCTATACCTATTTAATTGAATTTATTTTGTATAAATATAAAATAGGATGGTTTAAATGTAAAACATGGTAGTTTAGGAGTTTAGTCCGATCTAAGGCCAATACTCTTTACCCAAAAAGGAAACATGAGGGAAGTTGAAATTTCAGCTAGTCATTAGTGAACACGACTATTATTGATAAATAAGTAAGTTTCTAATGATAGATAACCTTTTATTAGCATGAGCGACAAATCATTGATGACTTCACTCATACAAGTGTGAAGTCACCGACAACTTAGAGTCATGGATTGAAGAAGTTACTAACAACTTCTTCATGAAAGTGGAAAGCCACCAACAACTTCATGACATGGAAGCGAGGAGTAAATAACGAGTTTTGGAAGGCTGCTGGTGGCTTCATCACATAAGTGGAAAGCCACCGGCTTCATTTGAAATAAGCAAATATTAAAAAAAAGTACTTTGAAACCACTAGTGGCTTTGTCACATAAGTAGGAAGCTACCGGCAATTTTGTTTTAATGAAGCAAGAAACAGGAAATAGAAAATAAGAAATTGGAACGAAATAAGAAATAGGAAAATAGGAAACAAAGAACTAGAAACTAGCAAAACAATTCGGACACCATCAATGATTTCATCACATCGGTGGAAAGACACTAGCAGACTTCACTTCAAACTTTCCAACTAACCATTATTCAAAATTAAGTAAAAAAAACCAAGAAACATGAATATAATAAAATGAGAAAAAAAATATAGGAAATAAATAAAATGATTCCAAAATCACCATAACTTCATTTCCATATTATAATCGGACATAGTTAATCAATCAATCAAAGAACATGCACAAACTTCTCATTTAGGCATGTAGGTGTAAAATAGTAAAATAGTTTAGTTTATCCTTTAATGTCCATTACGGTAATGTTTGCTTCAATCCATATTCAAACATTAGATATTTAAACAAAATGCAATATTTTCATTCAAAAAATTAGACATAGTTAATCAATCAATCACAAAAATAAGATAAACTTTACATTTAAACATGCATGAGTAAAATAGTAAAACAATGTAGTTTGTCCTTTAATGTCCATTACAACAATGTTTGTTTCAACCATATTTAAACTATGGATATTTAAACAAAATACAACAATTTAATTCACATAATCAAATAAGCTAGTAATTTATAACCCTCATTTTTTCAAGAAAAAAAGTGTAATGGTTTTGGAATTTTACCTAAAAATTCTATAATTCCGATGTAAAAAATAAGATTAGTTTTACTCTCTTCGATTCGATGAAAATGAATTATTCGGTTAGCCGATGAAGGAGAGTGACTACTTGTTGACAAAATATGATGTGGGTTTTGCTAAAGGTGACAAAAAACTACCTCAAAATTGTGCAAATGGTCAAGGTAGTGGCTATTATAAAAGTTGTCTGCAGAGTTTCCCAAAACTCAAAAAGACTTTTGTTGCTATATTTTCCTATCAAAACGGACAAACAATCCCATATCAATTTTTTTTCTTTTGTTTTCTTATTTTATACTTTTTTGGAAACACTATTACTAGCCCAATAAGGACGATTCATTGGTCCGCTAAGAGGTATTACTTGGCCTACTAGAGAGGTTGGCATCGTCGCTACGAGGTCACTGTTACTCGACCTTACAAGGGAGCTAATAGAGAGGCCAGTGGGTGTGTGGGTAGGGAAGAGAGACTAAGGCTATTTGTTATAGGTATGGTGTACGAGGGAGAGGCTCCTAATTGCAAGGGCATAGGGTAGAAAGCCTACGCACTAGAGAGCTACTACTATTGGTGCATAAAGTGAGGTTTACATAGGCTATAGTGCACAATTGTTGTCGCTTAGGTATGCCTAGCGTGGGGGTTGTTAGAGCTATGAGGGAGTGTTGGAGCTGCAATGGTTGCATAAGGAGCTACTTAGAGTTGAAGCTAGCACACGAGGAGAGGTTGTTAATGGATTACTCGAGAAAGTTGATGAACGACTCGAGGAAGTTGATGGAGGCTAACACATGAGAAGAGAGCTAGAATGCTCATTAAAGCATGGGAGAGTGGTGTGTATGGGTGGCTAGTGAAGGAGGTGTGTGGAGGCTATGGTGGGTTGTCGAGGAGGCTCGTGGTGGTTTATAATAGGCATGCTATCGAAGAAGGTTTCAAGTGAGGGACATGAAGGAATAATGTTGGATGGGTATGTTTTTTTTTTAAAAAAAAAAGAGATGAAAAGTGGAAGGTCTATATAAATTGCATGATAGTGGCTTTTAGAGGTAGGTTTTTTGGCAAAAATCCGATTTAGTTCTTAGCTCTCCACGGTCCCTAATTTGAGTTTAATTTTGTTTTTGTTTTGATAGAGCCCTTAAATTTGAATTAGTTGGGAATTTTCTTTTTTATTCCTTCTAATCGTGCCCCCTCTTTATTTTAATTAAAGGACATAAGTTTTGATTTTTTTTTATTAAGCCCTCAATTTCCCTTTTTGTTACTTTCAAACTTCCCATTTTCTTCAATTAGCTCCCCCCTCTCTCTCTCTCTCTTTAAGAATTAATCCTAAGTTAATTATTCTAATTGATTTTATTTTATTTTGCTTTTTTAGTTGGCATTTTGTTTTGTTTACCATTTTATACTTTTTTTTGGCTTATTTTTTTCATTTGCATTTTTTTGGGTATTTTTCAATAAAAATAAAAATACAAGTAAAACTAATAAGTGTAAAAATTTGAGTGCTAACACCATCCACTATGTTGTAGCTTCCTCAATGTCTATAATAGTTATTTGCTTGTTAATTGAATGAAACAACTAGCCTTCATCAAGATTAAAGAAAATAAAATGATTTGAAAGAGAACATCTTGACGCTTGGGTAACCTCTAAATTCATATGAGTTATGTTAAAATGGTTATGAAAATATTGCATTATGAATGGTTGTGGTTGTTATTTTTCATCTATTCTATTTAATTGAAGTTGTCGGTGGCATCCACCCACGTGAAAAGTTGTTAACAATTTCGAAATTACTTTTTTTATTGCATGCTTGCTTGAAGCAAAGTCATCGAGGGCTTCTCACCTATGTGATGAAGTTATCGATGGATTTTAAATCAAAATTATATTCCTTACTTGAGCAAAATGAAGTTATCGATGGCATTCTACTTCGTGATGAAGTCGTTGAAAACTTCTTATATCCTTAGTTTAAAGTCGTTGATGGCTTCCCACTTATTATTGATGGCTCACTAGTCATGTTAACAAAAGGCTATCCATCTTTAGAAACTTATCTACTCATCGATAATGGGTTGTGTTTGCTAAAGACTAGCCAAAATTTTAATTTGTCCTACCTATTAGCATGGTGATGCCAAAGCAAGTACTTAGGTAATTAATGTTAATGAATATATCACTAGACTTGACTCACCATATGAACCCATTTGCTGTAGTCTATAGGAATCTCATATGAGATAGGCATAACTAGTCCTTTAACTTGAAGTCATTACGATTATCTCATTAGATGATTTATGTACTTTGACACTAATTTCGATAGACCTAGTAAAGGGTTGCATGTTGAGATTCTTTGGATGCACTAAGAGATAGGTGGATAAATAAGATATGACATGTCATTCCTTATATTTTAAAGGAGTTATCACATTGTATTTCAAAAAATGTCTCCTCAAAAAGTCTATGGCCACAATAGGAGTATACTAATAGGGCATAGTTAGTTTATGTGTCATTCCTTATATGTTAAAAGAGTTAAAATATTTGAGAATCGAAGAAACTTGTGTGATCATAATCAAACAGATTAATAACCAAGTTTGAGATCACACTATGATAAGTTGAAACAAGGACTGAATTGTATGATAACCATGCTCATGAAAGTTAATTATGGATTTGTTAATCCTCCTAGAAAATTGGATAGTCATGATACCTTGCTAGAGGCTAATCTTGATTTATGTGTCAAGAGATAAAAGATGTGTATTTTATTCTTGATATATTACCAACATATCTAGGACTCTATTGGGTCATACACATAAGTTTAAGCATTAACATAATAAAAGAGAAGCAAACATTTTGGAAAAAAGTTTTCAATTTTGAAAAAGGTTTCCTAAAATGGAAAGTTTTCTATAATTAAAGTTTTCCGAAATGCAAATTTTTCTATTTTAGAAATCAATTTCCTAATTTGGAAGTCAGTTTCAAATTTGAAAGTAAGTTACCTAAAAAGGAAATTATTTTTCTAATTTAGGTTTAAAGGTAATTTGGGAAATTGCTTCCTAATGTGAGCCTCCTAAAAATATCTAACCCAATTTATTTGAATAGTCCAAATTAATTTGAGCCAAAAGAGTTTTATTTAATAGGTTTAATTTAAAAGCATGCAAGATATTTTGGTGCGAGGATGAACATGAACTTTATTGGATAAGGTTCAAGATTTGTAAGGATAAGATAAAAAAAAACCATATGTATTACAAATCTTAATCCTTCGAAGACTAGGAAGAAATAACCTAGAGTTATTTTTGGATTTGTTGTTGCCACTTCCTTGTCATTGGAGGACAAGGAAGACACTTTTCCTATAAATAGAAGGAGAGGTATGGAAAAGAGAGAACTTTTTGGTTAGGCATACACAACATTATAGGAAAAAGAGAGAAAATGGTTTCTCCTTTCCAAAAAACACCACCTCATTCCCTCTAAATTAAGGTTGTCATAAAATATCCTTTAATAGATTTTTAAAGAAAAAAATATTAAAAAAGTTAGAAAAAGTTGAAGTTAGCACTCCATAACTTCTAGGTGCTTCTTGTATAGGTGCTTAGATTGTGTGGATTATCGATAGAGGTCGAACACTTAGATGACTCCTTTTTACAAAGGTTAAAATCTATGCTTATAGGAGATAATCATTTACTTATGCTTTAATTCATATATGTATGATAAGTTGATTCAACAACTTGATCTTAAAAGCTCTGAGATGGAGGAAATTTTTTATTTTATTCTAAAATTTCATAGAATGCATGATCCTTCATTTAAGACATCTTAAGGAGCTAATTACTATGTATGAAAAAGAATCTAGGCAAGTAATGATTAAGGCTAGAAGTGGTTTCTATACTTATTCAAGATTAAGTGGGGCTCGCACCTCCATAGGAGTTCCAATATTCAAGGGAATGATAAAAAAGGCATACTTTAGTGTTTTCGAGTAGCATCTAGCACCCGGGCTATTCCACATCTAAAAGGCATCCTAAGTCATATAGACAAAATAATGGCTGACTTCCTATGGAGTTCGAGTGGAGAAACAAGACATCACTAGTTAGCATAGGAGCTAGTTTGTTAGCCTATATCAAAAAGGGGCTACGCATTAAATCTTTTGGGCAAATGATGAAAGCTCTTTATGGAAACTTTTATGGTATTACATGAACAAAAGTGGTCTATGGGCTAAGTTCATGAAGCATAGGTACGGTGAGTCCTCTACTAGATGTGGAACTTCTTAAATTTGGCTTTCAATTATGTATTACATTCCCATTTTACAATCCGAGACTTGTTGGAGTGTGAGCTATAGGGAAATATCATTATGAAATTCTAACTGGAGTGGTGAGGTGTTATGACTCGTATTGCCATTAGATGCAACACTCATGATCAAGTAGGCACTAGATAACATAGATGAGTTTTTTACACCTTATTACTTTTTCTTTATATGAGTAGGTGATGGCTACTAAGATTATGTCCGACAAAAAAGACATCTTGATCCGCACTATAACTACATCCGGTGAGTTCACTACTAAAGCTAATGGCATGTTGTACCACCAATAAATTAGATATTTATATTTATCCTTATGAAACCCAACCACAATGGTGTAGTAAGGGAAAGCAAGGGTCAAACTCATAGGAAGGTGGGTTTTTTTTTTAAGTGTTTATGAGTAATTAAATTAACAAGAAATAACAATATTAAGAGAGCCTTGGTTGAATTTTAGTAGTCACTTTTGGTTTGGTCACTAATCATCGATTCTATTTATTAACTTATCCTAAACATGAATATTCACCATAGGACAACAACATGTATGTTGTCCCTAATCTTTCCTTATTGAGTCGTTAATCGAATATACAATACCTAATTAATTCTTTAGCTACCGAAAAAACCTACTATATGCTAGATAGATTTAATTCAATAAAAACATTAATTAGAGAAAGATAGGTGAAGCTAAACCACCTTTCCGGATGTTAGAAAGATGTAATCTAGTTCTATGTTTTCTAAAGAATTGAATGAAAATGTGAAAAAGAATCATCAACCCCCGGTTACTATCACGAGTAAGTTTAGACAAGTTATTACACGGACTAGTAATAAGTTAATATGATAAAAAAAGTAGCATACACTATAATCAATTTAATCATATAACTATACACAAATCATAGAAAATAAAATAAAATACTCAAATATGATAATTTTAGAAAGAAAACTCAAGGTCTCATAAGAATTTAACTAAAAGCATCAACTTGATTCAACTAAGAATGATGTTTAATTGTTCATAATGCGCTACAAAGGAGAGTTTTCTATCTATGATAGGCTGTTAGAAGTTCGAATCCTAAAATAAAATCCTAACACTACTATTTATAGCTGAAAGTAGGTTACATCACATAGGTGTCGGCCTTATATGACCACACGAGTTTGCTTAGAAAAGTTACATGATTTGCTCCCGAACTTCACATGGTTTGAAGCCTTGAATAGTTGTTGCATGATTTACTACATAGAGACATATGATTGTTTACATTTTTCCTTGAAGCCATGTTAGTTCTTTTTGGCCATGTAAACTTTTTTTTGTTTTATGAGACACAAGCATGTCTTTCTTCACTACAAACCATCCAGAATACCTAATATCCACATGCCTTTTTTTCGTTGGAAGACAATTCAACTTGGCATACTCACGACCATGTAGGTTACCTTCCTCGAGCCATGTAGAAAGTCTGTTGAAAATTTTATAGTTTATACATACATGCATACATAGACAAATACATGAATATAAATTTATATACGAGATGAAATGTTATAGGGATTTAAGAAATGTGTGTTAGTGGTCGAGGGAGTTAAGTGTCAAACTAGGATTAGTTGAGGGACTTATAGAAACTTTACCAAGATAACTACTTAAACTTATCTTCCAAGATCAGATTTTTTTTATCATTTTTATCATCACAACCGACCACCATAGAGAGAAAAAGAGAGAGAGAGCTTGAGTAATCCATATCCGATTAAAGAGAAAGGCAAGAGAGAGTGGAAAATGTAGAGAAAATCAAGAGTAAGTGAGGAATTATGAAGCAAACTTCGGTTAACAACCAAAATCATCTTAAATCCATTTTTGTGCAAGAAGAAATTAAGGGAAAGGGTTGGTTTAGAGGAAGTTAACTCGAGATTTAGAGAAATTAAGTTAAGTTTTTTTTTTTAATCAAACTCAAAGAGAGGTAAGGTTTTTTGTAATTTTTTTGTAATTTTTATTCCACCCTAATTTTGAATTACAATCATCGATATTTTAGGGTTAGAATTTAAGCCTCTCACTATCTAACTCTTACATTCTAGGAAAACAATTCTACAATAGGAGATGATTTTATAAAATTGCCATAAAATTTGTGCTTGTATTTTAGCTCTAATTTTTGATATGTTATAGTAATATGAGTCTAGTCTAATTCAAAACTAGAATTAGGTAATTTGGATTCATATTTTGTGAACTAGGGCTAAAAGAGTAAAGGTGTTGCTGCTACCAAAGGGATTAAGGTGACCAAAGTTTCTTATTTTTTTCATTCTTAGAAGTTTTTGAAGTTTATAAATGATAAATTGAATTATGAGATGATCTATATATATGTTTTAGATCTCGAGGATTATGAGGTACATGAAGTGATATGTTGAAGAACATCATAGGACTCCATTTTTGTGAGTGGATATATTTGAGATATCTAATGATTGTTTGATGCCATATTTTCTTGTTTGCTACTTGATATTAGTGACTTGTTTCAGATTGTTATGGTGAATCGATGCTTGTGTATGATTCATGACTTATGTATGACGATACATACGAATATGTGTTGATGTGTTTAGGTTTTAACCGATAAGAAAATAATACATGTAACATGATGATGTATGAATTTTTGTGACTTGATTATATGTGCCTAATTGGTGATATGAATGTGTGTTATGGTGTCGATGATGATTATCCCTCATTGAGTAGCATCCGATTAAAAATTAAATTTCATTTTAGGTATCAAGATGGCACGAAGTTAAAGGTCATCTCTTTTACTTGCTCATCAACTATTATGAGCGACATGTTGCTCGGCGACCTCCATCTCCTCTCTCTCATCATGAAAAATATTTTTATTGTAATGGAAATTTTTTATTGTATATAATCCTAAATGATGTAAATGTGACATGACAAGAAATAAGGAAGGGTGCATTTTACACTAAATATACTAGTATCCATAGTATAAAAGATAGAAGTTTGAAATGGATGAACAAAGTCAATATATACATCAAAAAAATAAAATTTCATTCATGGTAGCTTTTTTCTTAAGACACACACATACGAATGTGTGGATTTATCCCTCAAACCATGTCACATGAATTTGCTTGTGTGTCTTCTTTTCCCTTGAAATGGTTTTTCTTTGTTGAGACACACACGGACGTGTTGAAATTGCCCTTCAAACCGTGCCTCATGACACTATCCGTGTATCCTTTTTTCTCTTTTGATAGGTGCTTTTCATTAAAACACGGATGGGCAAGCTCCAATTGCCATCTAATTCATGCTAAAGGCCACTGCCCATGTGCCCCTCTTTCCACTTGAATGGTATATTTTTTTCATTGGACATGTAAATGGTTTATATTAATACATGTACATGGAAAAGTAAAGGTCATTATATTTTTTATATCGAGCCCTGGTTAGGATTCATACGGACATGCATACATGCATACTATTGCATAAATACATATGACATGATATAATTACATAAGTATAGGATGAAAGAAGTCGGTGATCATGGTCGCAAATGTGATGCACCGAGAGAGAGGAAGCAACCAATCAGCATTCTATAGAAGCCTCTATTACTTCTCACGCACCCATGGAACAACCCACGGATCAAGTTAGAACATAGATTCATCAACATGTATTACATCTTGAAAATATACCAAAAGAGCGGAGGTATGATAAATTGAGAAAGTATGGAGTAGTTGAACTTTTTAGGGTCTACGAATCCATTAAAAGTTGAGAAATGGTTAAAGAGAATCGAAAGGGTACCGAACATGATGCAGTTCACTCAAGATGAAAAATTTAATTACACCGTGTCCCTTTTGTAAAGGAAAGCCTATGATTGGTGGGCAACGAGTCCCAAATGTCATAATCCGACCTCTAGTCCTCCGATAGGAAGATTTTCTTCTAAATTTAGAGAGAATTATATGCTTGAAATTTATCGAGATGAGAAATGAAAATAATTTATGAACTTAAAATAAAATAACATGTTAGTGATGGACTATGAGGTACGACTTATTCAATTGTCTCATTATGTAAGGTTGCTCCCGAAAGGGATAAGTGCTAAAAATTTGAAGAAGGCTTAACTTATGTAATCTAAAGTAAGATCTCATATGGTGATTTGAAAATTTATGCAAAAGTAAGGGCGGTAGTTATTCGAGTAAAGAGGTTGAGTAAGGAAGCAATGATTGAGAGTGCTAGTTCCTTGAGGAAGAGCAAAGAATTTAGTGCCTTACTCAATCTAAATTTAATCGAAGAAAGTTTAAGGGTGGTTATTGAAAAACTAAGAAAACTTTAAATGGAACCCATATGGGTAAAAGCTAAGGTCGAGGAAGAGTCTCTTTTGACAAATGATCGATATATGAGCATTATGGAAAATGACATGAGAGTCAATGTTGAAGACTAACTAGTGGATGTTTTCAATATAGAGCTTTAGATCATATGATCCGAGATTGTCCTAAGTGAAGTGAAATAAGTGGGATTGGCTCTAAATCAACTATACAAAGACTAAGAACAAGCAATGTGCCTTATGGATGAGGTTGAGGTAGACCCGTAAACACCAATGTGATATAAGGTGTGGCTAGATCCAAGCATAAAGCAACCGACCATAAGTTCAAGCTTGGGTATATGCTATTCCTCGATAAGAAATGATCATTGCACCATAAGTAGTGATGAGTAAATTACTTTTTTCTAATATTGAAGCTTGTGTTTTAATTAATCTTGAAGCCACATATTCATTTATAACACCAATATTTGCATCAAGAATCTATAAATGTATTGAACCTCTAGATTGTGACTTGCTTGTTAGCACTCTTTCGGAAATTACTTATGATTAATAGTGTTTATCGGGGTTGTATGGTACAAATTGGTGACATTGAGTTATGTCCGGACTTATTGCTCATGCCATTCCATGATTTTGATATCATTTTAGGTATGGATTGGTTAACATATCATTAGTCAATTGTGAATTTTTTTACAAAAGTAGTTGAATTTGCATTGCTAAATCAAACAAGAATAATTTTTCGAGAACATAAAATTATACCTATATGTTTAGTATCCGCAATTAAAGCACATAAGTGGATTCGGAGAGGTTATGATATATATGTAGAACATGTGATTGACACTAGAAAGACAAGGGTTAAGCTTGAAGATATACCTATTGTGAATGAGTTTCAACATGTGTTTCCGGTAGAATTATCGAGAGGTTGCCACTAAATAGAGATGTTGAGTTTACTATTGAGTTTCTACCTAGAACGACTTCTAT